GCATGGTACAAGGCAAGTAGTCTATCCATTATCATGATAAACATCCTCCTTTTCTGCGACCATAAGGCCCTTATACCGGTAACTCAATCTAAGTTCCCCGTTGCCCGTTATGATTTTTTTACCTGCATTTGCGTTTGAAAATCTAAAAATAATTCATTATTTTGAAAAAATTCCATAAAACATTGTTTTTATCACACTTTCAATCGATTTGTTTTAAAAAAAAACAATGAAGAAAACATTGTATCGTTTCAAGTGTTTCCTTGATCCCATGGCGTTTCAGTTCAGTGTTTACGCAAGCAGTAAGCCATATTACTGTATATACAGACCATATTCAAGATTAAAAGTAGCTATTAAAAGTACTGTTTTATTTGGATTTATAGCATGTAGTGTACAGTATGTGTAGTTTATTTTTGAAATATTTGATGTTTGTATTAATGAAAATTACCAAGATATATTACAATGTGTATTAATGAGATGTTCATACATGCAATAAAGTTAATAGACTGGAATACACAAGTTGAACTAACAAAAGTAAATTAAGTGTTTGTAAAAAGGTTAACTTAAAGAAATCTTGCAAATAATGAATAATGAAATAATTTCCTCATTATCAGCTGAACAAAAGGTGACAGGAAACTCACAATTTAATAAAATGCCATCCAAAATATAATTTGAGAAGGGCCTCTGGGGAGACTTGGTTGAGAAATGAAGAATATTTAAGTACACAACAAACAGGAGAGTTACCTGCAACCATCAAGTCACAATCCAGTTTGCTGTTTTGAGATTTGCATAGTTTTAGGGATCTCATATTTCAAACACTCATAACTTTCTCATTATTGGTACCATTTATTTCAAACTTTCGCCATTCTGTTTCTCTTATTTTCTGCTTTCATCAAATGGAATCATTAAAAAGGTTGGATTGCTGTATAAAAACGTTTGGCATCCTTTTAAACACCCCAATACTTTTTCACCTCTCTCTTTAATACATATGCATACATGTAGCTGCCAACATTTTGAAATTTTCAATGAGTAACATTCAAAGAAAAGTTGAGTTCTGGGAAGAGGTGAACAAATAATTTGTGAGCGTTATCATTGTTATTATGCAAGTGTGGAAGTACATCAGATTAACAATGTTCCCTGAAAAGTATGACTCTTCAAATGCCTCAATATTCTAAATATGGCAGGTAACAGCATAAATATTGGGACAGATTTTTTCGCCACATGTTTGTGTAGTCACATAAACATCTTTCTGTGTACAATGCTTGTAACTTTACCAAGACTGGGCCAAATGTCTTATCATTTTGATGATTCCAGAACCTTGCAGTACACACCAATACTTATATGCTAGATGATCATGATGATCCACGATGTTTCTTTCACAATGCAATCGCATGACCAGAACTCAAATTTATCTCCAAGTCAAACTGAATATCATGTGCGCACATACATGTACATGTATATATGTCAGACCTGAGTTCAAAAACTATATTCTTTATTCCAAATAGTTGTCTCTTACAGTTCCTAAAGTATACAGGAAGAAATTTTTGTATGGATCATTGGTTGAATATGCATGATTTGGTCATTACCGGTGTGTTCGATGAACCAATGAACATCCCCAAATTGCCAATGTGAGATGCTTGTAGGATACAGGACCGAATGGGCATTTGCCATTGAAAATGGCACACACACACACACACACACAAAATTTAATTATAATTTTTTTTTTTTTTTTTTAAATCGTAATAACAGAACTTAGAAGGGGTATTTATTAATTTCGTAACGAGAGTGGGAGTTTGGAAATTTGTAACAATTACAAATTTTTTTTTCGTAACAGTTGGCAGCTATGCATATGTACAACGTGTTAAACGTTTTTATTTTGTTGCAGCTCTTTATTTTTCTTCCCCTCTCTCATTTATAAGGACGGTTATAACGTGTGCATACAGTTTCAGTCACCCAGAGTCCCAGACTAAATGCAAGTTCATGTACCGGAGTAACCAGACACCTGATTACATTCTAACATCTTTCGTTCATTTAAGTTCCTTGTAGCTGAGAGCTTTCACATTTCACAGGGTATTGAGACCTCAAGATAACCAATGACGACTTCCTTCTTAAAATATGTGAATCACCAAGTATCACATGGTAATATATTTACGCTTAATACAGTGTACATGAAGTTTAAAGGGCAATCCAACCTTTGTTTACAAGCAGAAAAAGAAAAGCAAACATTTGACATACATGTAAATCAGACAAGTAATAAGAGAAACTTTACGAATGGTTGTATCATGGGATAACTAAATCTATGTGAATCTCAAATTGGCAATTTAGTCTGTGGATTATTACATATTCATGGACAACTCTCCCGTTTGGCATGTACTCATGGCAAACCTGCGCAACACGTTTTCATTGAGCTCTACATGTAATGTATGTCACTTGTAATATGAGATTTGTATCTGGTATCCATGTCCTCATTAAGCTGGCAGGCAGTCAAAATAATATACACTCCCTAAGTGTTGTGTTTTTTTCATATTTCTGGATAGAATGCAGAAAATATAATTTTGCAGAAAATTTTACCTCAAAATTCCTACATCCAAAAAAATTCAAAGGTCAAAGTAACAGGTAGGGAGTAAAACTTTTTCAAAACAGTAAAGAAATCTTACATTAAATATTATAAAATGGCTCTAGTATTTTAAGCATCGTGATTGGTCAATACGCGTCACATGACATGATGCAAGCACAATTTTGCAGAAAAAAACGCAAAAAAAGTTATAATACATGTTACCATGGATATACGCGCGCGTACGTGTAGTACGCTCCCTCGGCCTCGAGTGCATTAATTGTATAGGCTACGCGTAGCTAATATTGTACGCTCCACCATGATCCCCAGCGCAGCGTACGCATAGCTTAGCTCTAGCTAGAGAACGGGGTATTTAGAAAGCAAATTTTTATTTTACTTTTGCCTTGGATTTAGGCCTGTTTTGACTTTGGTATTTTATAATGAAGACAGGAATTTCAGCTGTCTGATGTAGACTCGTCTCTAGACCCCCTATGGATTTTATTTTTACTGAAGGCAATGAATCCCGAGAACTTTTTGGTAAGCCTGCAAGGTCTTACTCTAGTAGAACCAACATACATGTAACTCTAGATCTAACTCTCGTAAACTCTAACTGAATACTTAAGATCTAAACTTTTGTTTGTTTTGCATTTGTGTCGCTATTTTATAAAACAAATAACGCACTTGACCCTGTTGTGCGAAACGTAAATGCAGTGTACGCTCGGTTTCTTCAGATGGTGCTCACTGTCAACTCGCCGCAAGCGGCTCGTTGCACAGAGGGGCAACAATCTAAAGAAACCTCGCGCGTACTGCATTCACCGCTATTGCACTCTGGGCCGTGCGTTATTTGTATACTAATTGCAATTTACAATCTCCAACTCTCTCTCTCTTTCTGTCAGTCTGTCTCTCTCCATCTGAAGTATCTCTCTCTTTCTCTCTCTCTTGCACCTTCCTCTTTTCAGAACTTTAGATATATCTCCTCTTATTTTTCTACAGAGTTCATAATAAATTCATGTCCATCAACTAGAACATGCACAGTAGTGGTCTTACTGCACAACTCTCCCAACATCCATCTTCTTTTCAGTTGATTACAAAATATCAGTATCTACTGACTTTTTACAGGACTTTAAAATACTGCTATTTTCCTTATTTTCTGGGGTTTTCAGGTACATGCTTCAAAAATGTGGGAAGGGTATTTTCAAACTGTTAGGCCAAATGATCCTTTGGGGCTTGCGAAAAAAAAAGCACCTGGATATTATCCTTACGTCTAGCCCTACTTAAGCCGCGGGGGGCGCAGCTCAGGAAAGTGGCAAATTTTGGAGCTAGGATGCAAACAACATTTCAATCGCTGTTTTGACCAAGATATTTTTAGAATTCTGGGGGTGGCCCCCTATGGGAATATGGAGAAAAACCTGCTCTTTCATATGACACCTCATTTGTTGAGTTTCACCTTCAGGATCATTTGTTATAAAGGTTTGAATTTCAAATTTTTTCATAAAATCATTGACCAATTTTGCATGGTCGCGCAATGCACGTAGACCACATAGGGATGCATACAATCTCTATGGGAAGGGTTTTAGCACACAACATCGGGTGCGCGATCAGACACCCTAATCAAATGTTTCTGTCCTATAATGTTCACCTTTCATTCACATGGCATGCATTTCCGCACACAACGCACACTTTCCAGACAAATAGCGTACAGTGTACCTGATGAAGTCTGGTCTCTGCGCAAGAAACGCAAGAGATCGCGATCCAAAAATTTGATGTCCGATCGCTGCAACTAAATAAGTCGTGAAATTAATACGAGACCTTACTCCGCGCACAGGGGTTTACAGCTGATTTTTATACAAAATGAGATCCATCAAAAATAAGGTAATTTCATAATTTGCAAGACAAGATATCATACGATCAGTTGGTATCACTTTTTACTTACAATTTGGAGGATATCTGCTCTCAAAATGAAGATTTCCAGACCTTTATTTTTCGGAACGGATGCAAATGACTGCAAAATTTGCTGATCTTTTGTCAATATTTTCATAATTTCAAATCCAATTCCAGAGAAAATTCTGACTCTGAGGATTTTCATGTTCTTCTTTCCATTGGTAATAACAGATTTTCGAAATCTTACCAATTTTTTTGAGATAGATCTAGTGAACGCGAACTAGTCTACACGGGTCACGGTCACACACCATAGACTGCAGCTACAGTCAGCTCAGTGCAATGTCAATGAGTGCGCGGCCCGGGATACTCACGGCTCAGTATGGCAGTGCATCAGTGTACCGGTACGGTACCGTACTGTAGCAGTGCGTTAGTAGCAGCAGCGCCGAGCCTGGTCATATATATTCCACAATTGGATCGTTCATTGATTATCACATCCTATCACATATTCACATATCACTCTCAAATAAATAACCATGCCCATGAACTTCCAATTAAGACGAACACTCACCTGAAAATCACTTGGTTTACGTGTATGACTGTCCTTCGACTACGTGGCTGAACAATCAATCGCACTTTGACAGAAGTTCATAATATTTTAGCTTCCGCAATTCTATGGAACACCATCTGTGTTCATTTCTACGTAATGTAGAGACGTAACAGACGTAACCGGATTATGTTGCATGTTTCCATATCCACTGTTGGCAAAAAAAGGTGAAGGAGATAAAGGGAGAGAAAAGTGAGAAGGGAAAAGGGAAGGTGAACTATAAACACTCGTACACCTTTTTTTTATTCTTTCATTTATTTTTGTATTTAGAATTTGTATTTTAGGTTGTTTTCACTTCATCGAATTTTGTAAATATATGATTCTCATGGTTTGTTTTAATAAAACACACAAATAAAAAAATAAAATAAAAAAACACTCTTACACCCTAGGCTCGATCCACAAATTGATGCATTTAATCCAGTACTAAATAAGATGGTGCCCGTTCCCCAGCTTAACTGTAACATATGCGCCCTTCAATATTGAGATCAACACTACACCCACTGCCCAATGCAAGGGCAATACTTTAATCAACAAATGATGCACTTTTATCCGTTATTTCGCTTTGTTTTGTACTGTTTCGTTTTTTTTTTTTTTTTTTTTTTTTTTTTGGGGGGGGGGGGGTTAATTTCAGGGTTGAGCACTTGAGGTATGTTTGGTTTGATTCATCAAAACACCTAGTGGAAAGGGCTTCAACAAAATGAGAACATAACTTTTAGACCTTAAATTTCCTTTGTTTCTATTACCACCAAAATGGCACGAAACAATTTATGCTTGAAGGGGGACAACTCGGAAATGACGTAAATTAACGTAATTATTTCCGTACAATAAAAGTCTAGACAATTCTGGGATGATCCCTTGGGGGCGGAATAGGAGCAAACTTTTTCCTGATAGCTTTTCGGGAACCCATCCACCTCGTGGAAGCCAAGCCCCCTCCCCCCCCCCCCCCCTTTCCCTTTCTCTCTCTCTCTCTCTCTCTCTCTTCCAAATATCATCCTCCGGCGTGAGTAGTGAATCCCCCGTCATCCCAAAGTTCCAAGCTCTGATTTTGTGTTACTTTTAACGGAGGGGCGTGGCCATTGGAAAGGATCATCACGTGTGTGGGTGAATGTATTGATATATTAAATATATTTTCATTATTTTTGGCTTAAATTTATAGTATTTCATTTGAAAAGTATAAACACTTGTTTTAATCGCTTTAAACTTTCTTAAATTTGAGGATTTAAAAAAATCGTCCTGTCGTGAAATTGAAAACTTCCTAAAAATAAAATTATTTTTTCTTTCAATAACGCCTACCGGATTTCTCTTCTTATACCCCCTTCTTTCTTTTTATCTCTCCCTCCTCCCACCCCACTTCTCCCTTTCCCCTCATCTGCTCACTTTCTTGTTCTGATTTTGTCCAAATCTTATTTTAACCTGAAGTTTTGGAAAAACTTCGTTAAATTTGGAAACGTATCATAAACTATGATTTAAGAGAAAATCTGTTTGCTGCCATCTTGAATAAAAAACATTATAGGAAAGTCACGCCTTCGTTCAGTTCTACAAACACTATACGCCAGGTATAGTGGTTAACTCACTTTACTCTCAATCAAAGGGTTGACGGTTCGAATCCCAACCACGCACAAACGACATTTGGAAAGCTTTAATCCAAATTAACTTTTGCCACTCTCCACCCAGGTTTTTTAAGAATTTTTATTATCATTATTATTATTAATAATTATAAAGGAGAGGGGCTTCCTGATTTTTTAAAGAGGTAGTCTACCCGGATATTAAGATTATTTTGATAAAACCAGAAAAATGAGAGGAAGAGTGAAAGTTTGAGCAAAATTACTTTACTCTCAATCAAAGGGTTGACGGTTCGAATCCCAACCACGCACAAACGACGTTTGGAAAGACATTAATCCACATTAATTTTGCCACTCTCAACCCAGGTTTTCCAAGAATTATTATTATCATTATTATTATTAATATTATGAAGGAGAGGGGTTTTCCTGACTTTTTAAAAAGGAAGTCCACCCTGATATTAAGATTATTTTGATAGAACCAGAAAAATGAGAGGAACAGGGAAAGTTTGAGCAAAATCCACATTAAAGATAAAAAAATGAAAGCTATGAATTTTCTGAAGTTGCGATCAATCAAATTGTGACGTATTTAAGAGGTCCACTCCTTTTTTTTTTTCTCTGGACAGAAAATTTCACAAACTTTCATTTTCTTAATTGGTTATTGATGCCAAAGTAGACAAAGTTTTTGATTTGATTTTATTTCATTTTCTTCTGCATTCGTGTAAGTTTGATAGTTTTTCGATAACAAAAATATAAAGTACCATAAGTATTTTACTGACAATGAATCATAAATTAGCAAATACATATATATAAATATATACCTTCAGGGGCGTACGCAGGATTTTTTCAAGGGGGCGGGGGGGTTTAAAATCTGGTCCAAAATATTTTGCTCCCGAAAATTTGAAAATCGCGCCGGCCGAAAAGTCGCTCAGTGGGGGGTGGGGGTAAGCGGACACTTTTTTTTTTTTTTTGGTCTCGGAATTTGAAAATTTGACATTTTTTTTCATTGGGGGGGGGGGGTAAGTAAGGTCACTTTAGTCACTTTACGTTAGCCGTGGGCATAATTATTATTATTTTTTTTTTTTTTTAATTTAAAAAAAAACAAAAACAAAACAAACAAAGGGGGGGGTTTAGTTTTTTTTAGGGGGGTTTACACACATAAAAATACCAAAGGGGGGGTTTGAACCCCCAAACCCCCCCCCCCCCTCCCCTGCGTTCGCCCCTGTATACCTTTCATGTATGTACCTTTCCTATTGCACTTTGTATTAATGTATTATGTATGTATTTCATCTATTGCACAAGCTGCGCCTTGAGCATTTGACTGTCAAGTGGGGTAGTAAGCACTAATTTTTTTTTTTTTTTTTTTTGGAGGGGGGGGGGGGGGGGCCTCGAAAATGTGAAAAATCGCACCTGTGTTCGGGCCCCCGGGCCCTCCCGCCCCCCGGGTCCGCCAAATCCCTGACTCCCTATGAAGCCCTTTTCCCTCTTTTTTTTTCTCAAATTTTTCTCTCATTTTTTTTTTTTTTTGAGGGGGGGGGGGGGGCCTTCGTAAATTTGAAAAATCGCACCCCCCCCCCTTGAGCGCCAGGGAGGGGGGGGGGCATCTTAAAAAAGGTAAAATTATTGTGTTTTCACACCACTGCCCTGACTTCCTATGAATCCCTTTTCCCCCTTTTTTCTCTAACTTTTCTTGCCAAAAATATCCTCCGATCCCCTCATTTCCTGTGTCACCACCCCTACTTCATGAACCCTCGCCGAGGTATATCATATATAATATTGAGACGAAAATTATTATTTACCATCCTTTGTAAAAATTTATTTTGGCAAAATCGATGAGAAACAAATTTTATATATGCAGCGCAGCCTTGAAGTAAGCCTAGTCGGGTACCATGGTTTGACTGTAAATTGAATGGAAGTTGGCCGGATTCCAGCCGGAAAACCAATTTGAAGGATGTGAAAAGTATAAGGGTCTACGATTAAAATTGAATTAATGTAACTAAATAAATTATTTATTCACCTGAATTTTAACAAAAACGAACAAAAATAATGAATTATATTATTATTAATATTAAACTAGAAAAGTTAAGGTTAAAAAGACAGTAATTTTCCTATTAATCTCTATGTGTAATACATATATAACAATTGGAGGGGGGGGGGGGGTAACTTTGGATCGGTCCGCTAGCGCTCAGAGAAAATACGTATTAAAGAGATTAATGGAAGTTCAAGAACAAGGTCTGATCTTTCGAAAAAATGATATTTTATCAAAAGTTAGGTGGTTCTTCGATAGTGGACTAGTCTTCTTGCAGACGGTCATTTTCCTAACTCTACGTGTACAACATAATGATGGAAAATTGGAAGGGGGAGTAACTTTAGATCGGTCCGCTAGCGCTCAGAGAAAATACGTATTAAAGAGATTAATGGAAGTTCAAGAACAAGGTCTGATCTTTCGAAAAAAATGATATTTTATCAAAAGTTAGATGGTTCTTCGATAGCGGACTAGTCTTCCTGCAGACGGTCATTTTCCTAACTCTACGTGTACAACCTATGGGACAATCGGAGGGGGGGGGGGGGGGGGTAACTTTGGATCGGTCCGCTAGTGCTCAGAGAAAATACCTATTTAAGAGATCAATGGAAGTTCAAGAATAAGGTCTCATCTTTCGAAAAAATGACATTTTATCAAAAGTTAGGTGGTTCTTCGATAGTGGACTAGTCTTCTTGCAGACGGTCATTTTCCTAACTCTGCGTGTACAACCTATGGAAATTGGAGGGGGGGGGGGGGGTAACTTTGGATCGGTCCGCTAGCGCTCAGAGAAAATACATATTAAAGAGATTAATGGAAGTTCAAGAACAAGGTCTGATCTTTCGAAAAAATGACATTTTATCAAAAGTTAGATGGTTCTTCGATAGCGGACTAGTCTTCCTGCAGACGGTCATTTTCCTAACTATACGTGTACAACATATGGACAATTGGAGGGGGGTGGGGGTAACTTTGGATCGGTCCGCTAGCGCTCAGAGAAAATACATATTAAAGAGATTAATGGAATTTCAAGAAAAAGGTCTGATCTTTCGAAAAAATGATATTTTATCAAAAGTTAGATGGTTCTTCGATAGCGGACTAGTCTTCTTGCAGACGGTCATTTCCTAACTATACGTGTACAACATATGGAAAATTGGAGGGGGGGCGGTAACTTTGGATCGGTCCGCTAGCGCTCAGAGAAAATACATATTAAAGAGATTAATGGAAGTTCAAGAACAAGGTCTGATCTTTCGAAAAAATGATATTTTATCAAAAGTTAGGTGGTTCTTCGATAGTGGACTAGTCTTCTTGCAGACGGTCATTTTCCTAACTCTGCGTGTACAACCTATGGGACAATCGGAGGGGGGAGGGGGGTAACTTTGGATCGGTCCGCTAGTGCTCAGAGAAAATACCTATTTAAGAGATTAATGGAGGTTCAAGAACAAGGTCTCATCTTTCGAAAAAATGATATTTT